TCCCAGACGCGCATGCCACCAGCCCTCCCACGCCCCAACTCCCTCGCCCAAACCCCCCTCCCAGACCCAAACTCCCTCCCAGAGCTCATGCCACAGCCCCTCCCACGCCCCAGACCCCTGCCGGCCTCACACCAACTACACTGTAAACCAGACTTTCAGTGCAGAAATGCTGGTTTATAGAGCTTGCCGGTTGGTGAAGTGCCAGATAAAAGAGCTTTTACTGTAGATAAGTTCATGGAGGATAGGTCCATCAACTGTTGTTAGCCAAGATCATCAGGGATGCAACCCCATGCTGCGAGCATCCTAAGCCTCTGACTTCCAGAAGCTGGGAAGGGATGATGGGGTGGATCACACAATAACTGCTCTGTTTTGTTCATGCCCTCTGAAACATCTGGCACTGGCCACAATCAGAAGAGAGGATACTGGGGTAGGTGGACCATTAGCCTGACCCAATATGGCTGTTCTTATGTTGATTTAATTATAATAAATTAAAGAAAATAATTAAAAGATACTGCGAAAGAGCTGTACAAAAAGAGCTGAACATTAAATTATTATTTCAAACTTAATGCAAATCAATCAGCAGAATAAAGCAAAACACCAGTGATGTGATCCAAACAGAGATTACTGTGATTTTGCTACTTTACAAATATATCAGAAGGGAAAAAAATAATCAAGGTGTTCTCCCATTCAGAATACAATTCAAACAAAATAAAATTTTCAGCGACCCATGAATCAGAGAGCAGATACATCAAAATAAAAAATGACTTACTGTTTAGCATCATCGTCTGCATCATCATCATCTTCTAAATGTGCCACATGTCCCCTAAGGAAATGAACAAGGTACCATGGCTGAGTGCCCTTCATTAAAATGACTCTAGCTACTATGAAAGAATTCTGGTATGCATTACCTCAAGGGCACCTTCTATACAGAACATTATGATGTTGCTTTGTATTTTTATTTTCTTTTTCATTATTCTTTAAAGCACAAATTCAGCCCAGACAAATGAGATCTCTCCCATATCTTCAAATGAGCACTAGTAGATTGTAACAGGTGCAAGAAATCAATGTAAAAAACACTTTGAAACACACAAGAGAAAAATAAAAAAGTTACCGCTGATGCAGTTCTTCTTCAACTGATTTTAGGAGACTCCTTCAAAATTAATAAGAATACAATAAATAACTGAACACAAACTGAAGAAAGCACTTGGAAAAGAAGACATGAATAAAAGTTCTCAATTCAAAATAAGCTACTCTATTCTAATAAGATACACCGATTTTTTTGCTGAAGAATAATTTCATTGTTTCAATATAGTTACATGATACTATTAAACAGTGTTTATCTACATTTATTAGCGTACTCCTAATTACTGTACCTGGCCATCACTTCTGGACTGCAAACTAGGGCTACTTTGGCTTATTTCAATATTTACCCGTTTAAACTGAAACCATGATACTTAAGATTAAATAGTATGTTATCATAAAAAGTAAAAGTGACAAAAAGGTTAAACTATCAGGAGACCACTAGTCCCAATTTTATTATCTTAAAATTCACATCTTTCATAGTACTATGTTTTTCCCCTCAAAATGCAGATTTCAACATGCTAAAAAATTACAACTTCTAAGCCAATCTATGAAACAGCCCATCACATGCTGGCTGTCATGCAAACATCTGCATACATGCATGCAACAAAAGGGCAGCAGGATTTTTACAGAAAGGAAGATTCCTGAAAATGTCAATATTATTCCCTACTGAAAAATAAAAAAGATCTTACAGAGTGAAGGAAATGCATTGCCTATACTTTCATGAAACTTCTCTATTATAAAGCTACATGTCAAGAGTTTGACTTGTACAGACAGTGTCATTTTAAATATGAAAGCACCTAAAGTATCCGAGGCTGGAGAGAATGGCTATTATCTCATTTCATACAGTGCGTGTATCTGGATAACTACATCAAAACTCACAACGTAAAGTTTAACCTTTAAGGAACTTAATGACAAAATTATAATGAATAATGAGTTCTCTATAGATGTGTAAATGTTTTAAGTTCTTTTGTCTTTTTATTTTTTATTTTTTAAACAAACACGTGTAAGTACATCCCCATAACTGACCAGATGACTTGGGCAGAAGGGCAATACCTTGCTGTAAGGGAAAGTTTGTCACTAAACAGACTCTGATGTCTGAAACTGATAATGACATTCTAGAGGTGATGGGGGTGACAATCTCAATATCTTGAGAGTACACCTCAATATGCTGAGAACGTTCTCTCTATATCAGCTGGAGTGATTATTATTGTAGAAGTCAATAGTTTAAAAACTGCACGACTATAAATAACCAAAGGTTTATGACGTTTTACTGTATAAACATCAAATTACATTTTACTACTACATTACCTGCGGTTTTAAATTTAAACAATGAATTTAAGTCTCAATTAAATTTTAAAAACCAAGGAAAAATGCCCTCTTTTACTCACTTATTTGCACCTAAGAAGCAGCCACTCTGGGGACCATGACCATATTCTAGCTGCAGATCCTATAAATATAAGAGAAAGAGCTTTAAGATGAAAAGACAAGAGAGTTAAAAACACATCACATGCTTGCCTCACCCTCTTCACTGTACCCAAGCCACACAACTAATTCTGTCCTACTGTCACTCTTGGCTCTAGACCAGGGGTGGGCAACCTTTCAGAAGTGGTGCGTCGAGTCTTTATTCACTCTAATTTAAGCTTTTGCGTGCCAGTAATACATTTTAACGTTTTAGAAGGGCTCTTTCTATAACTCTATAATATATAACTAAACTATTGTTGTATGTAAAGTAAATACGTTTTTTAAAATGTTTAAGAAGCTTCATTTAAAATTAAATTAAAATGCAGAGCCCCCCCAGACTGGTGGCCAGGAACCAGGCAGTGTGAGTGCCACTGAAAATCAGCTCGCGTGCCACCTTCGGCACACATGCCATAGGTTGCCTACCTCTGCTCTAGGCTCTCATTCATAGGACTCTTAAGCCTGGATCTCTTCCATGCCCCAACTCTGTCATGCCTCACATCTCCTCAAATTCCTCCATAAAACACACTTCTTTCATAAAGCCATTCAACCACAGTCCCCTCCTCAGGGAAATACTGAGCTAGAGGGGCCTTTCCACTGATGACTCAAAAAACCCCAAACTACGAAAACATCAAATTTGTGGAACTAGCCAATGGTGTGTTAACCTTCAATTAGTCACACTACTTTCTGTTGAATCCACCCAATCTCTGTGTTCATTTTAATTGTATATATTTATATTGTCAGTTCTTCAGGGCAGAGATCTTGTAATGTCTGCAGTATACAATTGGCACTATCCAAATAAATACTATATAGGGAATCCTGCAAATATTTTGTTTGTTTTAGTTATAAAGGCAACAAATATTTTAAGGACAACTACTATATGCTTATTTATTTTACATGTAAATTTTTTGGTTATGAAATTCAAAATACTACATTAACCAAACATTAAAGTTGCAAAATCAAGCACTTACAACTTACGAAGTGCTAAGTAACCTTAAGACTAAGCATGAGGTGGCAAGGAACCCCAGGAGACACTGCTCAAAAATTCTGAGCTCATGTACCAGAAGGCATGCTTATCTCATTAATGGGAATAGGCAGAGTTCACCTTAAAGAATCACCATACTAGCATGTCCCAAGAGAAGACTATTAAAGCTATGGGATGTTTGTCTCTCCTCAGCCAGGTCAGGATTGGAGAAGTGTGTACGCAAACTCCTTCCCCTAAACACTTGGGGTTCACCTATACTGGGAAATGAGTGATGTTTTAAGATGTTAAAATTTTTAGACACCACTTAGCAGCTTGTATAGAACAGAACTCTCTCAAGTGTACCCCATTCCAGAAATATCCAGTCCATCACCAGCAGATATCCTGGTAACACAGTGATGAGACTAGTACAGACAGATTAGATAGGCAACCACCTCACAGTGAAGGGGCACTCCATAGCCTGAGCCTCTCACTCTCCCATATGAAGGACATCCTGACAAAGAAGAAATGCTTACTCCACTCCTCAGGCTTCTCATCCCAGTCTCCCAGCCCAGCCAGTCCTAATCTTCTCCTCCAGGCTCAATGTCCAAGTCCCAGTGTCCTCACAACTCCCAGTCTCTCTCTCCACACGCCCAGTCTCTGTGCCCAGCCAGTCCCAGTTCCCAGCTCATCTGACCCCAGACTTCTAGTACTAGTCTCTATCTTCTCAGACTTCTCATCCCGTCTTAGTCTCCCCACCCCTCAATTCCTTGTCCCATTCTCTTCGACCAACCAGTTCCAATTCTCCCCGACACCCAAGTTCCTTTCCAGATCTGCACACCCTCCTCATGCCTCCCAGTCCTCCCAATCCCAGTGACAGTCACAGTTTCTCTCCCCAATCCTACAGTCCCAAGCTACACCTTTCTCTCTACCAGTCCCCCTTTTGTCCCCTTTGCATTCAAACCAGACACCTTCCTCTCCCAGGCTGCCTGGGCCCAAGAGGGGGGGGGTCACTGAGAGGACAGGAGAGACTCTAAGGCCTAGTCTATACTACAAAGTTACGTTGACATAAGCTGCCTTGCATCAACCTGATGATTCCCTGTTCTGTTTATTCCCTCTGAGGCACCTGGCATTGGCCACTGTCGGAAGACAGGATACTGGGCTGGATGGACCTTTGGTCTGACCCAGTATGGCCATTCCTATGTTCTTAACTTAGTTGTGCATGCGTCTACACTTAAATTTGTCTCCCACCGTAAGTGTCCTGTTACGCCAACATAGTAATACCCCCTCCCCAAGCGGCCATAAGCCAAGGTCAATGTACGGAGGTCAATGCAGCGTGCATGTAGACACTGTTACCTATGTCAACCCTAACAATTCTCCAGCAGCTGTCCCAAAATGCGCCACACTGACCACTTTGGTTACCACTGTGAACTCCACTGCCAAGAGGTCACGTAAACCAAGAGTCCTCCCTCCCTTTTAAAGCCCTGCAAATTTTGGAATTTCTTTTCCTGATTGCCCGGTTTGGCGAGCACACCAAGCAGCTCTCCACTGTTGAGTGCAACTGTCCAACTGAGCATGCTGGCTACGCGCTCCAGATGTGCTCCGACAAGAGACATTGATTCTCCTGGACCTGTAGGGAGAAGAGGCTGTGCAAGCATTGCTATGGACCAGCTGTAGAAACTTGGACACCTACGAGCAGATTGCTCAGGGGATTCAGGAGAAGAGGTACTACAGAGCCCAGTAACAGTGCTGTATGAAAGCTAAGGAGCTGTACCAGGCATACCAGAAAGCCAACAATCGATTAATGCTAAGCCATAGACTGCTGCTTTTAAGATGAGCTGCCTGCCATACTCAGCAGAGACCCCACCACCACCCTGCACAATACTGAAGATACCTCCGAAGAGTCCAAGTCACAGGCCTCTACCGGGAACAGCGAGGGGGAGGAGGAGGATGGGGGACTGGTGACTGGGGGATCCAGCTGTGCAGCAAGCCAAGACCTGTTTTTGATTCCACCACAGTCCAAGCAGTTGAGCACAGGCGAGCCCAATTCAGGGGAAGAAATCTCAGTTAAGTGTGTACATAAATTTTCCATTACAGGGATGCCCCCTGCCCACAAGACCAGGACTTTTCATTAATTTCCTCGTCCTATAAGAGGTCGTTGTACAACCAAGAGAGGTAGAGATGCGCACAGCAGCCAGCTATAACCATTTTGATTCTGTTCACACGGAGGTCCAATCCTGTGAGTAAACTATGCCCCTTCAAATCGACCAAAAGCACATTCAACGGTCATTCGGCACCTGCTGAGCTGGTAGTTGAATCATTCCTCGGCGCTGTTGAAATGGCCGGTGTATGGCTTCATAAGCCAGGGGAGCAACGGGTAGCTATCACTATTGTCGTTTCAACATTCCCAAAGCTAATCTGCCAGTCTGAAAAGAAAGTCCCTGCTTGCAGCTTTCTGAAAAGTCCTGTGTTCTTAAAGATGTGAGCGTCATGCACCTTCCCTGACCAGCCCACGTTGATGTGGGTGAAGCATCCCCAGTGATCACCAACAATTGCACCACTATAGAAAGGTAGCTTTTTCTCTCTATGCACTCGGTGGCAAGTAGGTTTGATGCCAAAATAGGGATGTGTGTGCTGTCTATTGCTCCACCGCAGTCTGGGAACCCCACTGCTGCAAATCCACCCACTATGTTCGGTACATTGCCGAGAGTCACTGTCCTGTTTGGCAGGAGATGATTAATGGCCCTGCAAATTTACATGACAAGGGCCCATGCAGTGGATTTCCTGACTACACGTTGATTTCCGACTGAGTGGTACCAATCTGGCATTGTACGTTTCCACAGTGTGATTGACACTCGCTTCTCCACTGTCAGTGCAGCTCTCATTTTGGCGTCCCTGCACTGGAGGGACATACTACTTGTACGATATAGTGTACTTGGACTTTCAGAAAGCCTTTGACAAGGTCCAGCACCAAAGGCTTTTAAGCAAAATAAGGAGTCATGGGATCAGAGGGAAGGCCCTCTCATGGAACAGTAACTGCTTAAAAGGAAACAAAGGATAGAAATAAAGTTTTCACAGTGAAGAGAGGTAAATAGCAGAGTCCTCCGAGGAGTTAACTAGGACCACTGCCATTCAACATACTCATATATGATCTGGAAAAAGGGGTAAACAGTGAGGTGGCAAAGTTTGCAGATGATACAAAGCTACCCAAGATAGTTAAGTCCAAAGCTGACTGAAGAGTTACAAAAGGGATCTCACAAAACAGGGGGACTGGGCAACAAAATGGCAGATGAAATTCAATTCTGATAAATGCAAAAGTAATACGCATTGGAAAACAATCTCAACTATACGTACAAAATGATGGGGTCTAAATTAGCTGTTACCTCTCAAGAAAGATCTTGGAGTTATCATGGATAGTTCTCTGAAAACATCTGCTTATTGTGCAACAGCAGTCAAAAAAGCTAGCAGAATGTTACGAACCATTAGGAAAGGGATAGATAATAAGACAGAAAATATCATAATGCCACTATATAAATCCATGGTAAGCCCACACCTTGAATACTGTACACAGTTCTAGTCACCCCAACTCAACAAAGATAGAATAGGGAAAAGGACAGAGAAGGGAAACAAAAATTATCAGCTTTCATATGAAGACAGATTAAAAAGACTGGGACTGTTCATCTTAGGAAAAAGACGTGACTAAGGGGGGAGATGATAGAGGTCTATAGAATCATGAATTGTGTGGAGGAAGTGTTGCTCACCCCTTCATGTAACACAGAAAGCAGGGGTCACCCGATGAAATTTATAGGGAGGCAGCGTTAAAACTAACATAAGGAAGTACTTCTTTGGTGTGCTTGTTCTGCGCTCACAGCTATCATCAACTTTGAACCACAGAAAAAACCCTTGCTGGGATATGCAGGACTGTTCACCGACCAGAGCCCTGGTTGGAGGTGGGCTGATCTCTGGTAAGTGTATCCGCATGCATGTAGCTTCTTTTATTGTTTTAATGTTTTCTCTGTAATGCTTTC